CAAAAATTTACATGCATTTGGCATCCATTATTTTCATTTTTTGGAAAATTGAATCATGCCTTTTTTTTTTTTTTACCTTACAAGTATTTTCAATATTTTACAAATTAAAGATTAAAAATTATTGTTCTTCATTACCAAACTCATTCTATGAAGCGACAGTCACCTTGATATCTAAACCACACAAAGATCCAACAAAAAAAGAGAACTTCAGACCTATCTCTCTTATGAACATTGATGCAAAAATACTCAATAAAATACTTGCAAACTGAATCCAAGAACACATCAAAGATATCATCTACCATGACCAAGTAGGCTTCATCCCAGGCATGCAAGGGTGATTCAACATATGGAAATCCATCAGTGTAATCCACCACATAAACAAACTGAAGGAGAAAAACCACATGATCATCTTCTTAGATGCTGAAAAAGCATTTGACAAAGTCCAACACCCATTCATGTTTAAAGTCTTGGAGAGATCAGGGATACAAGGCACATACTTAAACATAGTAAAGGCAATATACAGCAAGCCGATAGCCAACATCAAACTCAATGGAGAGAAACTTAAATCAATACCACTGAAATCAGGGACAAGACAAGGCTACCCACTCTCTCCATACCTCTTCAACATAGTACTTGAAGTCCTAGCCAGAGCAATAAGACAACTAAAGGAGACTAAGGGGATACAAATTGGAAAGGAAGAGGTCAAAGTGTCACTATTTGCAGATGATATGATAGTATACATGAGCGACCCCAAAAATTCAACCAGAGAACTCCTTCAGCTGATAAACACTTTCAGCAAAGTGGCAGGATACAAAATCAGCTCAAAAAAATCAGAAGCCCTCCTGTATACCAAAGACAAAACGGCTGAGAAAGAAATTAGGGAAACAACACCCTTCACAATAGCCACTAATAACATAAAGTACCTTGGGGTGACACTAACCAAGCAAGTGAAAGATCTGTTTGAGAAAAACTTCAAGTCTCTGAAGAAAGAAACTGAAGAAGATATCAGAAGATGGAAAGATCTCCCGTGCTCATGGATTGGTAGGATTAACATTGTAAAAATGGCCATCCTGCCAAAAGCAATCTACAGATTCAATGCAATTCCCATCAAAATACCAACTCAATTCTTTTCAGACCTTAAAAAAAAGATTCTCAGCTTCATATGGAGAAACAAAAAACCCGGAATCTCCAAAACAATCCTGTACAACAACAGATCATCTGGAGGTATCGCCATCCCCGATCTCAGCTGTACTACAGAGCAATAGTAATAAAAACTGCAAGGTATTGGCATAAAAACAAAAAGGAGGATCAATGGAACCACATAGAAGACCCAGAAATAAACCCACACACCTATGAATACTCGATTTTTGACAAAGCAGCCAAAACCATTCAATGGAAAAAAGACAGCATCTTCAACAAATGGTGCTGGACCAACTGGATGTCTACATGAAGAAAAACGAAAATAGATCCATATTTATCACCCTGCACAAAACTAAAGTCCAAGAGGATCAAAGACCTCAACATAAAACCAGATACTCTAAATCTGTTAGAAGAAAAAGTGGAGAATACCCTAGAACTCATTGGCACAGGAGACAACTTCCTGAACAGAACACCAACAGCACAGGCTCTAAGAGCAACAATCAATAAATGGGACCTCATGAAACTGAAAAGCTTCTGTAAAGCAAAAGACACTGTCATCAGAACAAAACAACTGCCTACAGATTGGGAAAGAATCTTCACCAACCCTTTATCTGACAGAGGGCCAATATCCACTATATACAAATAACTAAAGAAGCTGAAAAGCAAAAAGCCAAGCAATCCAATTCCATTTTTTTTTGCTAAACAGAGAATTCTTGACAGAGGAATATCGAATGGCAGAAAAAGAAATGCTAAAGAAATGCTAAATCTAAAGAAATGCTCAACCTCATTAGCCATTAGGGAAATGCAAATCAAAACGACCCTGAGATTTCACCTTACACCCATCAGAATGTCCAAGATGAAAAACTCAAGTGACAACACATGCTGGAGAGGTTGTGGAGAAAGGGGAACCCTCCTTCACTGCTGGTGGGAATGTAAACTGGTACAACCACTTTGGAAGTCTATCTGGTGCTTTCTCAGACAATTGGGAATAGTGCTTCCTCAAGACCCAGCTATACCACTGCTAAGTATATACCCAAAATTTGCTCAAGTACACAACAGGGATATTTGCTCAACCATGTTTATAGCAGCTTTATTTGTAATAGCCAGAACCTGGAAACAACCCAGATGTCCAGCAACGGAGGAATGGATACAGAAATTGTGATATTTTTACACAATGGAATACTACTCAGCAATCAAAAACGAGGAAATCATGAAATTTGCAGGCAAATGGTTGGATCTAAAAAAGATCATTCTGAGTGAAATATCCCAGAAGGAGAAAGACAAACACAGTATATACTCATTTATATAGACCTATAAGATATGATAAACATAATGAAATCTATACACCTAAAAAAGATAATCAAGAGAGTGGACACGGGGTAAGATGATCAATCCTCATTTAGAAAGACAGATGGGATGTGCATTGAACGTATGACAGGAGTCTACCACAGAAGGCATCTGAAAGACTCTACCTAGCAGTGTTTCAAAGCAGACACTGAGACTCATAATCAAACCTTTGGCAGAGTATAGGGAATCATATGAAAGAAGGGGAGTTAGTATGATGTGGAAAGGATAGGAGCTCCACAAGGACCAAATATATCTGGGCACAGGGTCTTTTCTGAGACTGTCATTCAACCAAGGACCATGTATGGATATAACTTAGAACCTCTGCTCAGATGTAGCCTGTTGTAGCTCAGTAACCAATTGGTTTCCCATAGTGAGGGGAACAAGGACTATTTCTAACAGGAACTCAATGGCTGGCTCTTTGACCTCCCTACCCCCCCCAAGGGAGGAGCAGTCCTGTTAGGCCACAGAGGAGAGCTTTGCAGCCAGTCCTGAAGATACCTGATAAAACAGGGTCAGATGAATGGGGAGGAGGTCCCCCCTATCAGTGGACTTGGAAAGGGGCACGGTGGAGATGAGGGAGGGTGGGTGGGATTGGGAGGGAATGAGGAAGCGGGATACAGCTGGGATACAGAGTTAATAAAATGTAACTAATAAGAAAAATAAAATTAAAAAATATGTAATAAAAATTATTGTTCTTTTATGACAATAGGCAGATGAAGGTCTTTATTGAGTGATAATCTTTATATAGTTTGAGAAAATGAAAACTTACAAGATTGGCTGATTAATCACCTTGCAACCACTACTGGAATCTCCTAAACATCTGTTCAGCAATACTCTCAAACCAATTAACAGGTCAAAATATGGAAATGTTACTTGGTGGGAGGAAAGAGTGATCAAAAAGTAATAGTACAAGCCACAGAAGAAGTACTTACAGAAGTGAAATGCTGTTTGGAAGAAGCTCTTGCTTTCTTTTACAAGATCCTCTATTCCTGAATAACTGGACAGTGCATTCAGTTTCTAGTTATCAGGGTACCTTTCTTTAAGAGCCCGAGTAGAGAAGAGGAGACTGTAATTGCTAGACCCGCCCATTGTTTTATTTTAAAAGGTAAACTGATGAATTTAAGTTAAACAGTAGGTTCTTAAATCAAAATAGAGGATTGTGGGTAGTGAAAACATACGGTTACTCTACCACTACTATTGTTAATGAGACCCCCCCCAAGAGAAATCCTATTATAAAAATAATAGGAGAGGGGGGAGGGTATGTCATCACAGTTTTAAATATACAAAATAGACCCCACAGTCTGTTGAAACACCACATTGAACTACATAACTATTATTAAACTTAGTGCTGTAGACAGAATGCTCTCGTAGATAGAATGTTCTTAGAATGTGTGTGATATTCTGTGCCCCTGGCAGGGGCAATGTAGTGAAAGGCTATTTGGAAACTGGTCTCACTTTTTAAATTTTGCATATATGTTTACTGTAACAACCCCAAGCGTCTATTTGGGAGCTCGCTTTTTCTTTATTGCTCCTTCAGTTCCTTCCATGCAATATAAGGCCGTAGCCCTCTCTTCTTTGGCTATTTCTCCATAGTTCCACTTGCTCAACCTTGTATTTCCTTGGTGCACTGAAACTTGTCTTTCAGAAAACATGAGGAGGTATTGCAGCAGACTGTGGTGCCTATTTTGTGTGTTTAAAATCATGATGCTGTGCCCCCCTCTCCTATCATTTTATATCAGGCTTTCCCTTTTGGGGTCTTAGTTTCATTAATAAAAAGGAGTTTGTTGTCTCATTTTCTCCCTGGCTCCACACTGAGTACCCCAGCAATCTGGTAACACGGCATCATGGGTCAGGGAGGGGTAGAGTCTGCCTCCCTATCTGATACCTGCTAAACAATACGTGAAAAGGAGGTGATATGTGGACTTGGGATCCTTAAAAGATACCCATGTATTAGGAGATGGAAGGTCCCAGTTCAGACTTTTAGCCTGTTCTTTTTTGGGGGACGAGATGAGGGTTTTGTGGTTTATCTTCTTTGTAAGGGGGCCAATGAAACATATTTCAGGTCACAGTGTTTCAGATAATAAAGATTTTGCTTAGTGATATGATTGTCCATGAGTCCGTGTGTGTTGGATGTCTACAGTAACTGACCCTTCTCTGGGGTTGTCCCAGAGGAATGGGGAAAGAAGAGCATGAGTGAAACTACCTGTAATGTACTTGATTATAACCTCTACTGGATTATACCTCACTATACATTTAAAGTGAAACTCAAATTGCTACTCTCAGAGACTACCCCTCCCCCCAACTTCCGTTTGCTTTGGGGCTTTGAATTTTGAAGGCATGTTTCATTCACTCTTAGCCCTGCTATTGGCTGTTCTCTGGAGATCATAGCCAGGCGAGAACAGTGAGAATGATACCTGGCAGTGGCTTCTGCATTCCTTCCCTGGTTCCTACCCTAGTCTAAGCCCACACTCAGCAAAGGAACTGGAATCTGGGCCTGTGCTTACAGTGAGAATATGAAGCAGGTGGCAAAAGTGACTGTGCTCCTAATCTTGGGTGAGTTCTTTTGGACTAAGATGAATTGGGACCAGGGCTTGTGAGTGACAGACAGGGTTCTTCAACTAGGCAGGCCAACTGCTCTCTGTCCAAGAAGCCCGGGAAAGCTTTGTGGTGTTACTTAATGCTGACATTTGCTCAACCTTTATGTGAAGCATGTGTTGCGGGTGGTGAAGGTGTTCAGAGTTACTGATCACTCACATCCATGCAAGGGAGGGAGAGAGCAGACCGCTACCGCTGTACCTGTGATCCCGGCATCTCCTGAATTAGAGGAAAGGATAGTTTTGTCCCAAAACACAAATGGGAAGTGAATTGGGTATATGTGTATGGTTTGCAGGAAGAGTGAGGGGTAGGTCCGGTGGAGGAAGAGCTAGGGAACTGCTTGGGGGCTTCTACTCATCCCGTTTCCAGATAGGAATGAGGATTGTGTTTACGTCTACAGCCACGCGGAGCCTTGCTAAGACCACCCAGCCCCTCTCCATGGACTCCTACGAAGGGCGAGAAGTGAATGTGTCCTGCAGCCACGCAAACATCGCTACAAGCGAGTACATCTACTGGTACCGGCAGGTCCCCCATGAGGGACCACACTTTATTATTCAAGGGTATAAGGACAATGTGGCAAATGAAGTGGCTTCTCTGTTCGTCTCTGCCGACAGGAAGTTCAGCACTCTGAGCCTGCCCCCGGTTTCCCTGGCAGACAGTGCCCTGTACTACTGCATCGTGGCTGACACACAGCGAGACAGCTGGGTCTGCACCTGTGCAGTATCCTGTGGCGGGATGGGAGTCACACTCTGCACAGAAGCACAGGCACGAGGCTTAGTTCCACCGTATTTTCGTTTTTACAAGGTGTAAATATGCCTTCTTATGTTACCTATGTTTTTCCTGTCATTTAATTTTAAACAGGCATTTCAGTTCGATGGTATAAAAATGAACAAGTCAGAGGGCAGGGGCTGGAGAAACGGTTTAGTAGTTAAGGACACGTGTTGGCCTTGCAGAGGACTTGGGTGTCCTACACAGCATCCACAAGCTGTTTCCCACAACTATCCATGACCCCATTTTCAGGGGATCCAATGTTTTTTTGTTTGTTTGTTTGTTTGTTTTCCTGGTCTCTGTAGGCACTGAGGTTTATTTGCTTCTTTCCCTTTTCCTTCCTCCCTTCTCCGTCTCTCTCTTTCATTCCTTCTTTCTTTTATGTCTGCCTCTGCTGCCTTGTTACTGTCTTCATCCTCTTCCTTTTTCTGTTTTCTCTCCCATCCCCATGCCTTTCTTTCTTTTCTGTTTTGGCTAGAACTTGCTATGGAGACGGAGCTGGCCTTGAACTTATGACAATCCTCTTGCATTTGCCTTATCAAGTACTGGAATTGCAACTATCACCCCAGCTTCCACTTCAAATTCAGTTTCTGTTTTTAAATAAAAATTTTATTAGTAATTGTGGTGGTTTGAATGAGAATGGCTCCCTCCTGTAGGCTCATATATTTGAATGCTCCATTCCCAGTTAGAGCTAGTTCCCAGTTAGCTGGAGAAGGATTAGGAGGTGTGGCCTTTATGGAGTGGTTATGGGCTAATGGGAGGAGGTGTGTCACTGGGGATGGGGTTTGAGGTTTCAAAAGCCCAAGCCAGGCTCTGTCTAGCTTTCTTTCTGTGTCTTACTTGTGGATAAGATGTAAACTCCCAGCTCCAGCGCCACATTCTGTCTGCTCTGCCATGCACCCCATCATGACTGTCATAGACTCACCCCCTGAAGCTATAATCAAACCCTCTCCCCAGTTAAATTCCTTTTAATAAGTTTCCTCGGTCATGGTGTCTCATCACAGCAATAGAAAAGTAACTAAGACAGCATTAATTACACATAATAGTGGGTTTTATTTTGTTTTTTTAATATTTTTTTATTTTTAAATAATTTTATACATTCACTTGTAATCCAGCTGTAACCCTTTCCCTCTTTCCCTTCCAATCCTTCCCTCCCTCCCTCATCTCCTCCCTGCCCCCACTGAGAGGGGGTGTCCTCCTCTCCTTCCATCTGGCCCTAGCTTATCAGGTATCTTCATGATGGTTGCAATGTTCTTATCTGTGGCCTAGCAAGACTGCTCCTCCCTTGCGGAGGGGGGAGCTCAATGAGCCAGACGTTGAGGTCATGTCAGAAACAATTCCTGTCCTCTACTTTGCCATAATGGACTCTAAGCCTCTGAACTGCATGCAAGCTCCAAATAAACTCTTTTTCTATAAGTTATCTCTCTATTATCACAGCAATAAAGAAGTAATTAATACACTGAGATTATGAATATGTGGCTTACTTTACTTATTACAAAGATGACATAAAATATTAGGCTAAGAATTAACAGAGTGTTCTTTTGACCTAATTGACTAGGATCAGAAGGAAGGAAAAGAAGACCTCCCCTTTTGGACTTGGGGAGGGGCATGCATGCAGAGGGTAGAGGAAGGGAGGGATTGGGATGGGAGGAGGGAGGGAACCACAGGGGGATACAAAGTGAATAAAGTGTAATTAATAAAGAATTAAAAAAATAAATTGCATTTTCTTTTTTTTATTTTTATTTTATTTTATTTTTCTTGGATACTGAACTGCCATGGGCTACATCTCTGCAGGGGTCTTAGGTTATCTCCATGCATAGTCCTTGGTTGGAATAGCAGTCTCAGGAAAGACCCCTGTGCTCAGATTTTTTGGTTCTGTTGCTCTCCTTATGGAGTTCCTGTCCTCTCCAGATCTTACTGTTTTCCACTTCTTTCCTAAGATTCCTAGCACTCTGCCCAAAGGTTGCCCATAAGTCTCAGTATCTACATTGATAGTCTGCAGGGCAGAGCCTTTCAGAGGTCCTCTGTGTCAGGCTCCTGACTTGTTCCCTCTTTTCTCCTTCTTCTGATGTCCAGCCTCTTTGCCTTTCTGGATAGGAATTGAGCATTTTAGCAAGAGTCCTCCCTCTTGATTAGTTTCTTTAGGTGTGCAGATTTTAGTAGGTTTATCCTATATTATATGTCTATATGAGTGAGTATATACCGTGTGCATCCCTCTGCTTCTGGGATAGCTCACTCAGGATGATTTTTCCAGATCCCACCATTTACTGCAAATTTCATGATTTCCTTGTTTTTTTATTGCTGAGTAATATTCCATTGTGTAGATACACCACAATTTGTGCATCCATTCCTCCACTGAGGGGCATCTGGGCTGTTTCCAGCTTCTGGCTATTTCAAATAAGGCTGCTACAAACATGGTTGAGCAAATGTCCTTATTGTGTACTTGAGAATCTTTTGGATATGGTAAGGAGTGGTATAGCTGGATCTTGAGGAAGTGCTATTCCTGGTTGTCTGAGAAAGTGCTAGATTGATTTCCAGAGTGGTTGTACAAGTTTACATTCCCACCAGCAGTGGAGGAGGGTTCCCCTTTCTCCACAACCTCTCCAGCATGTGTTGTCTCTTGAGTTTTTGATCTTAGCCATTCTGATGGGTGTAAGGTGAAATCTTAGGGTCATTTTGATTTGCATTTCCCTAATGGCTAATGAGGTTGAGCATTTCTTTAAGTGCTTCTCTGCCATTCGATATTGCTCTGCAGAGAATTCTCTGTTTAGCTCTGTTCCCCATTTTTTTAATTGGATTACTTGGTTTTTTGCTTTTCAGCTTCTTTAGTTCTTTGTATATACTGGGTATTAGGGTTGGTGAAGATCTTTTCCCAATCTGTAGATTGTCGTTTTGTTCTGAGAACAGTATCCTTTGCTTTACAGAAGCCTTTTCAGTTTCATGAGGTCCCATTTATTGATTGTTGCTCTTAGAGCCTGTGCTGTTGGTGTTCTGTTCAGGAAGTTGTCTCCTGTGCCAATGAATTCAAGGGTATTCCCCACTTTTTCTTCTAAGCGGTTTAGTGTGTCTAGTTTTATGTTGAGGTCTTTGATCCACTTGGACTTTAGTTTTGTGCAGGGTGATAAGTATGGATCTATTTGCATTTTTCTACATGTAGACTTCCAGTTAGACCAGCACTATTTGTTGAAGATGCTCTCTTTTTTCCATTGAATGGATTTGGCATCTTTGTCAAAAATTAGGTGTCCATAAGTGTGTGGATTTATGACAGGGTCTTCTATTTGATTCTATTGATCCACCAGTCTGTTTCTATGCCAGTACCATGCAGTTTTTAGTATTGTTGTTCTATAGTACAGCTTGAGATCAGGGATGGAGATACCTCCAGAAGATCTTTTACTGTAGAGAATTGTTTTAGCAATTCTGGGTTTCTTGTTGTTCCATATGAAGGTGAGAATTTTTCTTTCAAGGTCTGTAAAGAATTGTGTTGGTAATTTGATGGGAATTGCATTGAATCTGTAGATTGCTTTTGGTAAGATGGCCATTTTTACTATGTTAATCCTGCCAAGCCATGAAGGAAGGAAAAGAAGACCTCCCCTTTTGGACTTGGGGAGGGGCATGCATGCAGAGGGTAGAGGTAAGGGAGGAATTGGGATAGGAGGAGGGAGGGAACCACAGGGGGGATACAAAGTGAATAAAGTGTAATTAATAAAGAATTAAAAAAATAAATTGCATTTTCATTAAAAAAAAAAAGATAATCCGTTCTTCAAGAGGAACAAGTTTAGCATCATGCCAGATTTCTCATCGCATTCTAAAGGCTAACTTTCTCCTAGGGGGAACTATTGTTAAGAACGAAGGCCCTTTTCCTTCCTCCACTCTGCAACTGTATTAGTTTGTATTCCATTGCTGTGATAAATGCTAGGACAAAAGGCAATTCGTGGGAGGAAAAAGTTTATTTCAGCTCCTAACTTCAAGGTCGTACATAGTCCATCATTGAGGGAAGTCATGGCAGGAATTCAGGATAGGAATGTGGAGGCAGGAACTGGTTCAGAGAAAAGGAGGATTTGTGCTTACTGGCTTTCTCATAGTTTGTTCAACTTAATCTCTTGTACAACCCACAGACTCCTGCCAATGGGTGGCACCACCCATCATGATCTGGGCTCTCCCACACCAAAAAAATGCCCCCTAGATTTGCTGGCATGCCAGTCTGACGGAGTTGTTTTCTCAATTGAAGCCACCTCTTCTCAAATGACTGTGGCTTGTGTCAAGTTTACAAAAACAAACAAACAAACAACAACAACAACAACAAAACAAAAAACAAAAATCCAACCAGTGCAGTATATTAGCCACTTTTATTAAAGTACAATCCACAACACTGCCTATTTCCTGCCATTGGGAATATACCAGAAATTGAAGGAGCAAAGCCTGAAATATCATATATAAGGCATGTTTTGTGAGTCTCTGTCCCTTCGTCCAATATTTGTGCTTAAACTCTTTCCACAGGTGTAGTTTTCCTTGTTGAGCACTGAATAAAGATGATCTCCCCAGGGGGCTGTTATTGTTACCAACTAAATGTAGAAGAACAAGGAAGAATTTCACTTTCATTTGCTTAGCAGACTAAATGATACCAGTTCCCTGATTTTAAACAGGTTAATCTTGTTCAGTAAGCATGGAAAACCCCCAGCTTACTTAAAAACAAAACAAAACAAAACAACAACAACAAAAAAAACCCAAAAAACAAAACTTGGCAGTTTTGTAAAGAACAAGTCTTTTTAATTTCAAGAGTAAATACATACAGTCATGCAGAATCCAGCATAAAATCTTGCAGGTTATAATACATGCCTTAAAAATATGGAGAGTGACTTTGAGTATATTTACATGAGAATTCCCCAAAAGGGACAATTGTTTGATACAAAAATTTAGTGGTGTCAGCATAATTGACAAGAACTCCTCTGCCCACATTGATCTACTAGGAATTAAGCTTGCTAAAACAGGCACATCAACTCACAGGTAAAAGGCTTCCATCAATTCAGGACTGCTAGTATAGAGAGTACTAAAGCCAAAGAGTCTCTGTCCACTGACCCATGCTGTGCAAGGGTAGGCAATTATTCAAAGGACCAGTTAGAGTTTGGCTGACTCTATACAACATGCATACAAGAATGCAATGCAATTCTGTACTCCCTCTTTTTACTTTATTTGCTTTCTGCTACACGATATCAATTTTGATATTGGATACACTTGGGACTTACTTCACTGACTTGCTGTTTAGTGTGTCAGGATGACCTGGATTAAAGAGGATTGGAGAGCGGCTGGTGGAGCAGGTAGGCGCTGTCCACAAGGTGGCAGAGCATCTCCACTGCTGCAAACTTACAAAGAAACTTTTTGGTTTCCTTTTGCAAGGGCAGTCAGCAGCCTTCTGTGCAGACAGTGGAAGAACTTGCAGTGCTGAGGAGGACAGAGGAGGTGAGCTGATCACAGAAGCATCTCATCTGGCTGAAAACCACAGTCACAAGGGAGAGCAATGAAGACACTGGCTGGACCTTTGTTCCTGTGCTTGTGGCTGCAGCTGAACTGTGAGTGAGAGTTTTAGGGAAACAAGGTGTTTGGCTGTATTTATTATCAGTCTGGGGAAGAGACGGGCTGTCTCCAGATCGCTACCTGAAATGAATGGAGGAAGAAAAGCAAATTCTGGAGAATGGTGACCTCATGGCCTTCCTGCTGTTTCCTTTGCACAGGTGCTAGCAGAGGAGAGCGGGTGAACCAAAGTCCTTCCCACCTGAGTGTCCAGGAGGGAGCCAGCGCTGTTATCACCTGCACCTACACAGATGATAACAGTTATTACTTCTCCTGGTACAAGCAAGAGCCTGGGGCAGGCCTCCAATTCTTCATAAATGTTATTTCAGGCATGGACAGAAAACAGGAACAAGGACTCATTGTCTTACTGAATAAGAAGGAGAAACGCCTCTCCCTGAACATCACAGCTGCCCGTCCTGGGGACTCAGCCACATACTTCTGTGCAGCCAGTGCACAGTGCTCCCCGGGCACCTGCGGCCTGCACACAAACCTGGGAAGTGGGGAGAGGAGCAACTTTAAAAATGTCGGAAACAGAAGATTTTCCCCCTTCAACTCTTAGTATATGAACATTCTGAGACACCCCAAGAGTTAGCTTCACTTTGACCTGAGAACATTTTGAAGAAACGTTTACTGAGAATTGTAGGTATAAGGTTATTGTATAATTCAAATGCTGATTTCTGTAACCCCATATCTGGTTGTAATCTTTGCTTTGAGAGTCTTTTATCTCAATGTTCTATAAACACTGCTCCCCAGTTGTTCCCTGATATGTCAATAAGGAGGCTTGATGAACAATGTCTCATCAGGGGAGAGAATAGGGCTGGACTTCCTGTCAGTGAGGGGAGTAGGTGTTAGAAGAGGAAGTAGGGGTTTGGGCCACTAGCAGAGGTCCAGGAGAGACCAGGAAAAGGAGCTGGAGTAGGAAAAGCTTCAAAATGCAAGTACCTCTGGGATGTATGTTGGGAGGAAACCAGATTAGCTTAGAGGATTAAGAATAGAGTTAATAACTGCTCAGTTATTGTGTTGTGAAACTGATTATTAAACAAATATAAGAGCCTCAATTATTTGTGTGACAGCCAGGTTAAGAGAAAAACTGAGAAACAAACAGTTTTATAAAATAACTTTAACAGAGAATGGTTCCTTTGTTTTTAAAGTTTAAATCTTATTATTTCATGTGTTTGAGTATTTTGCTTGCATATGTCTGTCACTTGTGTTCCTAGTGCAGGCTGAGGCCAGAAATGGCCCAGGGTCCCCTGGAATTGGAATTGTAGATAGTTGTGAGATGCGATGTGGTCTCTGGGAATCAAACTTGGGTCCTCTAGAAGAGCAGCCAGTGCTCTTAAACCTTAGCCGCCTTTTATTTTTTAATGATGTTTTTCTTAAGTGTTCCTTTTATTCTGTTTTGAAATCCAAATGGCTAAAGCACAATAAATGATAAGATACTGTGTATTTCATGACAAGGGCAGCTGTATAAAGCCCAGGATAGTTAAATTTGGGGCAATCTTGGTATTTCTTACTATATGAATTTTCCTTTGAATTTGTTGGTTTATTTATTTATCTCTTCACCTGTCTGTTTATTTGAGTTTTTGAGACAGGGTTTCACTATGTAGCTATCTCTGGCCTGGAACTTGCTATGTAGACCATACTGGCCTCAAATTCACAGAGATCCACCTGTACCTGCCTTCCAAGTGCTGGAATTAAAGGCATTTGCCATCTTGCCAGGCACTTTTTTTTTTATATCAATGACAGTTTTTTTAAATTAATTAGTTAATAAATTAATTAGTTAATGAGGGAGCAGCAGGGAAGGAGGATGGCGGATCTCATTGCAAGACTTCGAGAGGACAGGATTCAAAAGCGTGTGATACCAGAGGGCGGAGGAGTGTTGTCTGACTTTCGGGATGGCATTAAGGCCACATTCCACTTTCGGAAGCCGAACAGTGGTGATGAAGGCTCTGTACTAGATGACAGCAGAACACATGGCAAGCCCATGCTGCTCATCATTGGCAAGAAGTTCAAGTTGCCTGTGTGGAAGTTGATTGTGTGCACCATGCGGGGGGGAGGGGAGGGAAGGGGCGGGGGTGGGGTCGCCCAGTTCCTCTGTGATGTCAGGCATGTAGTTCTGTATCCGCTGGTGGCCAAGAGCCTAGCAACATCGCCGAGGGCAAGGACCCCTTGGAGGGCCAGCGGCATTGCTGTGGAATTGCTCAGATGCGTGAGCACAGCTCCCTGGGCCACGCAGACCTGGACATCTGGTCACAGAACCCTCAGCCTCTCATCTTCCACATCGAGATGCTGACGGTGGAGAGTTCTGGCACCTATCAGCAGGACCCATGGGCAATGACAGATGAGGAGAAAGCAAAGGCAGTACCACTCATCCAACAAGAGGGCAACCAGTTTTACCGTGAGGGGCAGGTGAAAGAGGCTGCCATTGCCTGCCTCAAGAACCTGCAGATGAAGGAGCAGCTGGGGTCATCTGACTGGATCCAGGTGGACCTGCAGATCACACCACTGCTGCTCGACTATTGCCACTGCAAGCTGGTGGCTCAGGAGTACCATGAAGTGCCGGATCACTGCTCCTCCACCCTCAACAAGTAGGATGACAATGTCAAAGCTTACTTCAAGGGGGGTAAGGCCCACGCTGCTGTGTGGAATGCCCAGGAAGCCCAGGCTGACTGTGCCAAGGTGTTGGAGCTAGACCCTGCCCTGGCACCTGTGGTAAGCAGAGTGCTGTGGGCCCTGGAGACAAGGATCTGGCAGAAGGATGAGGAGGACAAAGCCTGCTTCTGGGGCATCTTTTCCCACTGACAGATCCTCAGTTCTGCCCTGCCCTGCCAAACCCACTGCTGCCACCACCTGTCCACTCCCCACTGCCACTTTGCGCTTTTCTGTATATAAAGGCCTTATTTCTCTCTCTATCCAAAGGCTGCTCACCACTGGCTAGGTGCTCAGTGGTCAATGGTCAGCAAGAGATCAGGTTCTCACTAGTTCGCTACTGGTCTTCTCTAAGGTCTCTACGGTTGTTTCTTGCTGGCCAGTACTGGGTGCCCTCAGGAACCTCTAGTATTAAGAAATAGATAAAGCAGGAATGGCCCGCACAGGCCACTCTATTCTAGCCTCAGCTCCCCCGCTCCCCTGGCTTTGGTTTTCGGAGACAGAAATTTCCTTTGGTAACGAGGTGAGGAGGGCTGCAAAGCAAGAAGCCACATGACTCTCATTAACTCAAACACTGTCTGAGGTTGGGGGCAGGAGAAGGAATAGGCAGACTATCTAGGAAGTGACCTAGGAAGGAGCAGCCAGGACCTTTGGAGAAAGCAAAGGGGGCTCCAACCTGGCCCTACTTCATGACCCTGAGCAGGTCCTCGCCCCTTTCAGCACTTCAGTGCCCCAGACGGCAGGCCTTCGGTAGAGTGCAGTTGTTTATTTTCACAGGTTCACACACTGGAAAAGCTACTGTGCCTACTTCCTCCTTTCTCCCCTGGGGGCTAGGTCCCCCACCCCACACAAAGGGAAGTAATGCTAAGGAGTGGCCACACAGGCGTGAGGGCAGGGCTGGGCAAAGGTCCAGGCTCCAGTCTCCCACGCAGTCACCGAAGCCCCTTGAGGATCAATAAATTACCCAGGTCCAGCCAAAAAATTAATTTATTACAATTTATTCACTTTATATCCCCACTGTAGCCCCCTCCCTCATCTTCTCCTAGTCCCACCCTTCCTCCCTCTTCTCCCCCTATGCCCTTTTCCTAGTCCCCTGATAGGGGAGGTCCTCCTCCCCTTCTTTCTGACTCTAGCCTATCAGGTCTCATCAAGGAGGCTGCACCTACTTTCTCTGTGGCCTGGCAAGGCTGCACCCCTCAAGGGGAGGTGATCTAAGAGACCAGGCACTTATTATATAATCTTAAAAAAATCTTTTATTTTTGCCAATTGCATACATGTATAAATGTATCTTAATCATATCCATTCCATTTGTCTATTTGCTCTCCCCCCTGACTAACACATTTTCCTCCTATCTTTATGTCTTTTCCTTTTATTTGGTTACCTTCTCAGCCCAATTAGTGCTGCCTGCTGGAACAGTGACTGATGTTGACCTAAGATTGTGCAGGTGACCATAAATTCAGTGATTTTACAAGTGCAATGGCCATGTCATGCCCAGAAGACATTTATTTCATAGCGTGTCTCTCTATCTTCTGCCTCTTAGGTTCTTTTTGCTTCCTCATCTTAGATGCTATTTGGGTCTTGGGCAGCAGTTGAGATAGATGACATGTTTAGGGGTGAAAACTCTCAGCACTTTGACAAGCTAACAGTATCTGAATTAATTTTTGTCTATTGTAGAAGGTGCTTTGGTCAAGGTTACATCTATGGATATAAACATAAATATTTAGAAGACAGTTTGACAAGTCCACTTAGTTAAACAAAAGTAGTAGGTTATCCCACTCTTTAGGGCTCTAACCAGGTTTAAAATAACAGGCAGGAATTCTCTGCTGTGAAGCAAGTGTCATATCTTGTCAGAAAGGTGTTGGTTGCCCCCCAATCTTCCTGCCATTGTTGTACCATGGACACATTTCTCCTGGCAGTTGATATTGTAACATTCAAGGTTCACGTTGGGTAATGCTACAGATGACCTTTCCCCCCCAGCGGCCTACATAACTAGCAACCAAAGCTTATTGTGTTATCAGCAGGCATCTCACTGTGTAGATATGGTAGGTGTGATGGTTAGGGTTTTTTTTTTTTTTTTGTCACCTTTATACAAGCTGTAGTCATCTGGGAAGAGGTAATCACAATTCAGATAACACCTTCACCAGATTACCCTATAGGTAAGTTTGTGGGAGCAATTTCTTGATTAGTGATTGATTTTGGGGGGCCCAACCCACTGTGGCTGGTACCAACCCGTGGGAATGTAGTCCTGGGTTGTGTATGAAAAGCAAGCCAAGTGAGCAGCAGAGAGAGAGCAAGCCAGGAAACAACATTCCTACATGGCCTCTCATTTAATTTCTGCCTCCATGTTCCTCTCTTCAAACCCCTTCAGGGTGGACTATAAGCTACAAGATGAAATAAACCTTCTCCTCCCAAAGTTGTTTTTGGTCATGTGTTGGGGGCCATGTGAGAGGAACAGCAAACAGCTGTAGAACTCATGAAGGACAGCTCACCAGCTAGCATAACCACTATGGATAGTGTCTTGAAGAGGCAGAGCCCTTCAGTGGAGCATTGCTCTGCTTGTTGCCCTCATGGTCTCTTATAATCTACAGCTTGTATGAAAACTCTAAGGGGGTTTCCAGCCCTCACTGGGCAGTGTCACTGGTGCTTACAATAATAGTGGTGGATCTTTTGTAAGTATTGCTGCTGGAGTAGATTAATGATGCAACCGCCACCACTAGAAAGAATTTGGAGATGTAGATTGTTAGCAAAGTTAGGTTAAGATGTTTTTGTTGGTAGCTTTGATGTGGAAGATCTTGGGGGAACAATTTAACATTCAGAAAGGCAAAATTTTGGTAGTCGAATGGGGGCTTGTTGAGGTCAAGGAACAAGAACAACAGAAGCCTGGCCATTGATAGTTGACAAGCCTTTCTT